TATATATAACTTTCTATATTACCTATTTAAGAAGTTTGTTCAAAGGTTTTTTACTAATTGTCATATCTAACATCTCTTCTTGAATGTTTTATTTTAAACCCTCTAAATCTGTAATTTGTATTAATATTACTGGATTATACCTAAATATTCAGATTATTGTCTTATCTTTAGAACTATTTTATTTTTAAAATAAACTTTCCAAAGCCTTCTGTATTTATTTTTATAACTAATCTGATATTACTATAGCAGAATCAATATTTGTAATTAGAATTATATTATTTAACTGCTATATTCTTATAGAGTTCACTTGAATCTTAACATCTACTTTATAGTATAACCTCAGTACTTTAGTATATCTCTGTCTTTTTATTAGACTTTTAATTTAAATAGCCTATATAGAACCATAAATAGTCTATTAATATATTAAGTTAGCCTAATATTTTTTTTCTCTAGTTTATTTTAACAGCCTAATTGGTAGTACCTTCAAGACTCTCAATCTAAAGATTCTTGCCTGTCTGGATACTACAATATTGATATCTATTTTATAAAACTAGTTTTTACAGTAAAGCTGTCAAAGATTTGGTTATCTTTTTACTTAGATCTTTCTAAATAGACTTCATGTTATTTAATTTTAACAGATTTATATGATTACAAGAACTTAACTAATGTTTGCACTATCTGATTGTTGGTTTGCATTTTTTTGTATAACATTATGTTTATACAAATATTCTATGACCTGCCAGTCATGCTGATGTGATTACTATTACAGGTATCCTAATCTAATTATTAGTAACAGTTATCATAATACAAATATTATATAGATAATTATCTAAATTTTTACTATCAATGAGATTTGAACATCAACCTATTACTTAAGAAGTTAACAACCAATACTTAAATTTTTTAATATAAATTTTATATAAAATTATATAAAATTTATTGTAAATATTTTTTTTAATAGTTAAAGTTTCTATTTTAGAAAATAAATATTTTATTTAAGTTTGTGTTAGATATAAATGTTTTTATAAACTCTTTTATATTGAAAATTATAACTAATTACATATATATTTTTGGTATTTATTTAAATAGTTTGCCTATATATTACTATACAAGTTTTATACTAAATATTATATTTATAAGCTAACTATAGATTTTGTTTATTTAAACTCTTTGTATATGCAATCTTTTTGTCTTATAGAAACTTCTTTAGAGTATTACCTATTCAAATTTTTGGTACTCTTAAGACTACTTTATCTTTAACAAAAAATTTACTAAAATCTGTTATATTTTATATACAACTAACTTAGCTTTATACAATATGCTATAGTTATCTAATATTTGTAGTTATAAAGATTATCTGTTTAATTACTATATTACACTATTTTTATTTTTGTAAATTTTACTAAATCTTTAATATTCATCTTTTTAATATTCTCATTATTATTTTTACTAACTGCTATTTAACTTTAGTTAGACTATCAATTCAGATAGGCTAATATAATATACTTTTGTATTTTTTTTCTTTAGTAAATCTGACAGCCTTGTTGGTTATATGTTTTTTTATATATATTTTGTATTTAGTTTATCTAATCTATTTTTTTAAAAATAGTTTGTAGGCTTTAATCAATATAATAATATTATTAAAAATTATATTACTTCTTTATTTGAATTTTTAAATAAGTTTTTGTTATTTTGATTTCTTAGTCTTCTATATTTAGTAGTCTTATTACAGGTTTGCACTAAAGTCTTATATAATACTAATAAACATTTCTTTATATATTTATAATGTTATACTTTAATAGATACTTCAAGCTTCCAATTTATTAAGTTTAATATATCTAGATTACAACTATATAAGATCAACTAATTGACAAGAAGTAGTTATTATTACAAAGATATAATTTTCAAATTTTATCATAAATAGTATTTAAATATTAAATCTGTTACTTGAAGTATAACAACCCAACTACTACACTAGGATTGCTATTCTCTAAGTATAAATTTTGTATTACTTAATATAGAATATTTATACAGAAACTTTTTTTTTTAGTGTTAAAGTAACCTCTTTGGTCTTTTGATTTTTATTAATCACTTATTGGTATTGTAGTTTAATAAACTACTACAAAAGAGCATACAATTAGCTACATGTATAACTTTTTTATATTATCTATTTAAGAAGTCTGCCTGAAGGTTCTCTACCAATTGCTATATCTAATACTCCTGCTTGGATGTTCTACTTTAAATTTTCTAAACTTGTAACCTGTATTAACTTACTGAGTTATATCTAAATGTTCAGATTATCATCTCAACCTTAGAACTAATTTAACTTGAAATAAACTCTTTAAAATCTTCTATATATATTTTTATAACTGATCTAAGTATTGCTATAGCAGAACTAACACTTGTGGTCAGTGCTTAATTATTAAAATACTATAGCTTTGTAGAGTTTATTCAGACTCTAGCATCTATTTCACAACATAACTCTAGTACTTTAGTATACCTTTGAATTTTATTAGACTTTCAATTTAGATGATCTGTATAAGACTATGATTAGTTAATTAGTATATTAGATTAGCCCAATATTTTTTTTCTCTAGTTCATTCTAACAAGACTCCCAACTCAGAGGTTCTTGCCTATCCAGTTACTAAGACCTGGGTATCTGTTTTCCTAAGCTAGTCTTTATAATAATACTGTTAAAGATCCAGCTACCTTTCTATATGAGTCTTTTCAAATAGACTTTTTGTTATCCAATTTCAATAAATTTATACAGTTATATAACTCTAACATTATACAAATGTTCTATGATCTGCCAATTATGTTAATGCAACCACTATTATAGGTATCCTAATTTAATCATTAGTAACAGTTACTGTAATACAAATATTACATAGGTGATTATTTAAATTTTTACTGTTGATGGGATTTGAATACTCAACTTACTACTTGGAGAGTTGACATCTGACTACTTTACTAGGTTGTTATACTTCTATATAAACTTTTATTTATTTTTTTTTTTTGTTAAGGTGATCTCTTTGGTCTTTTGACTTTTATTAATTATTTATTAGTATTGTAGTTTAATGAACTACTACAGGAAAGTATACAATTGGCTACATGTATAACTTTTTTATATTACCTATTTAAGAAGTCTGCCTAAAGGTTCCTTACCAATTGCTGTATCTAATATCTCTGCTTGGATGTTTTACTTTAAACTCTCTGAATCTGTAATCTGTATTAACTCACTAGGTTATATCTAGATAATCAGATTATTATTCAATCTTAGAACTAATTTATCCTTGAGATAAACCCTTCAGAGTTTTTTGTACTTATTTTTATAGTTAATCTAGATATTGCTATAGCAAAACCAACACTTGCAATCAAGGCTTACCCATTAAACTGCTATGCTCTTGTAGAGTTCATTTAGACCTTAGCATTTATTTCACAGCATAATTTCAGTACTTTAGTATACCCTGAATTTTATTAAACTTCTAATTCAAATAGCCTATATAGAACTACAACCAGTCCATCAGTATATTAGATCAGCCCAATATTTTTTTTCTCTGATTCATTCTGATGGCCTGATTGGTGATACCTCTGAGACTCCCAACTTAAAGGTTCTTGATCATCTGGTTACTAAGACCTAGGTATCTGTTTTTCTGAACTAGCCTTTACAATAGCACTAGTGAAGATTTAGCTATCTCTTTACTTAGATTTTTTAAATAGATTTCTTGTTATCTAATTTTAACAGATTTTCATAGCCACAAGAACTTATTTGGTATTTGCACTGCCCAGTTATTGGTTTGCATTTCTTTGTGTAACTTTAACATTGCACAAATGCCCTATAACCTGTCAGTTATATGATGCAACCTCTATTACAAGTATTCTAATCTAATTATTAATAACAGTTAGCATAATACAAATATTATATAGGTAATTATACAAATTTTTGCTATTAATAAGATTTAAACACCTAACTTACTATTTGGAGAGTTGACAACTTGACTACTTCACTAGGTTGCCACATCTTCAAAAACTATATTAATAATTTAAATAATATATATATATATATATATTTAGTATTAAGATGATTGATTTTTTAGATTTTTTAACTTTATTAACATCTTTTTAAGTAATATAGTTTTGTAACAAACTACTAAAAAAAATATATATAATTGAACATATATGTTGTGCCTCATAATGACATGAGCCTCAACTGACAACTGATGCACCTCAGATATCAATTATTAGATAAGGTACCTCAGATAATTAATTGATATCTGAAGTGTGTTGACTGTCATATGATGCAATTATTAAAATATACAAATATATAAAATTATTTTATTTTTTGATTTATTTTTATTATTAAAAATAAAAAAAAAAACTTTATTTATAAATTATAAAATATATATAACATTAAGTTTTATTTTGACATAACTGTCTATTATGGCATCGACTACTACATTTATCATTATTTTTTTTACAATGATACTTCTTAGAATTATATTCACTTTTGCAATAACAAATTGCAGAGGATGGGCCTGCACTTTGAAGTTGTACTGCTTCTCTAATTAATATATTGTTGAACAGTATATTATTAAGTTCAGAAAAATCATTAACACCCAAAGGTTCAAGTTTATCAGCACAATAATAAACATTAATAATGCCAAATTTTAAACCTAATTGATAATGATCATTTTCAGTTTTAGCTAATATTTTACATGGTAAAGTTGGCCTGTCAATGCTAAACTGATCAATTTTGGAAATTACAACTCTTACCAAATTACTGACTACATATTCTAATACTCACTTTTTGCCTTTAGACATCTGATTTGCCATTTTTCAACATATTTTTCTAGATTTTTACAAGCTGATTGATATAAAATTTCATGTCCAGTAATATCAACAAGTAGAGTAATAACCACATTGGAATTAGCAGGTAGAAGAGCAGTAATAGCATTGGAATTAACAGATAAAAGAATGATAACAGCATTGGAATCAATAGGCTAAAGAGTGATGCTAGCATTAGAATCAACAGGTGCAAAAGTGATGTCAGTATTAAAATCAACAAGCAGAAGAGTAATAGCATTAGAATCAACAAGTAGAATAGTAATAGCATTAGAAGATAAGTTTAATAAAGTATTATTTAGGAAATTTTCATCATCTATAATATATGTTAATAAAATTATATTAAAATACTGTATAAAATTATAATATGCATTTTAAATTATATTTAATATACATACTCTCCAAATCATTATTCAGGTTTGTATTATTAGTAATATCTTGTATTTCAATTGTGTTTGGAATATTTTTTTCATCAAGTATATTTTTTAAAAATAATTTACTAACTAATATACAATTATTTTAAGGCTTACTACCATATACCAATTTATATGGCATTTTTTTATATGAGCAACAAAAACTATTGTTTATAAAAGAAACAACAAAGTGAAGTCCAAAAAACCAATCAGTATGTTCAGTATATTCCTTCTACTTCTCAAGTTTTTGTTGAAAAATTCTATTGGAATGTTTAACTAAGCCTTGTGATTAAAAGTACTGTAGTCTTTTATTTATAATTTTGACAGTTGGCCATATTTGTATAAGCTTTTTGATTACTAAAGCACAGAACTCTTTGCTATTGTCTGATTGTAGAATAGTCAGAGAAGAACCCAAACTATGAAATAAATCAAATAAATACATTGCAACTTCAATAGCCCTTTTAGATGTAAGTGGTTTAGCCCAAGAAAAACAGCTAAAATGATCTCTAACATGACAGATGTATTTATAATCTCCATTCACATCAAATAATAGATCAATTAAATCAATCTTATGAAATAATATATTAAAAATAAATAAATAAATAAATAAAATAAAGTAATCAAAGGGCATGGGTCCCATAGCTTAGCAGTTAAGCTTCCATGCCCCCACAGTCAAGGTCAATGGTTCAAGTCCGGCTGGAGGCAAAAATCAAAAAGATTTTAGCCTCTGTAACCCAAAAATGGAGCCAGTAATTGAATG